TTTGGGATATTTGATTCTCTCTGGCTGCTTGTCATGCCTTGCTATTTGGGTCGAATCCTCTCCATTGATGACTATTTTTTCAAGATGAATCTGACACTGACGCTCTTTTGTCTTCTTCGAAATTTCGAATTTCAAATCCTATGAGTGACGCACGTCCCATCAACCGCTGACTCCTCGTATTCTGTGCCTCATCACGATCATTGGTTTCCTTATCAATCTAACGGCTAACATCTATCTTATTTTCTATAAATATGATTGAATTTCTTCTTTAAACACTTTTTGCTTCTTCCCAATTTTCTCTGCAACTCCGGCGATCTAGGGATCCGAGCTCTTTCCTCCGGCGATTTTTCCACAGTTCCGGCATCTTAATCACCTTTCAGACCGTCATGAGTAATATGGGTAAGTGTTTTACTCTTTCTACCACTCTATTCTTTCTTTCTTCTATTTTTTGGGTTTTTCGGGTTTTTCTAAGCCCCTGTGTTCTTCGTGTTCTTCGTGTTCTTCCACCTTTTCTTGGAGTTTTTATGTTGGATCTTGTGTGCACCTTCTTTATTCTGGTTAACTGTTAGCGTGTGGCTGGGTTACAGCGTGTAACCACTTGTCGGCTTTTATTATATTTATTCTTATCAACACCCGTTTTCTTTCTTTTTGTACTTTTCTCGAGTTGACGCAAGAGATTCGTTTTTCAACAAACTTAGGGTTGTCCACAACCAAATTTTTTTCCTCTTCCGGGCGGGAATCATTCACAAATAGAGAGTTCCTTCGGAAGGGGGCGTATTCTCCGGGCTTGTCGGCTTCATGTCGACTTACCGTCATGTTTCCATCGAATCATACCATATTACTTTCTCCCTCTTTCGTATTTTCGTCTACTTAGGCGAGTCGACTGTGCTTTGCTTGATTTTGTTTCGTCATGCCTGATCTTTGCTTTTGTTTCTTTTTCTTCTAGCTTCCAATTCCGGCTCTTCACCTGACACACTCGACAAACTGATCGACAGGGGCCTTGACCAATCTGACTCAAGCTCAATCGAGATAGTTGGTTATAGGATGGTTAACGCTTCTTCTTCCTCATCACGCACTTCGACCCCGAAGGTCGACTGGGCTGAGTATGATCAGGCGCTATTAGATGGCGGTCTAGTAGAGGTCTTAAGGAGTTCCCAGGGAAACTCTCCTCGTCTCGACTTGATTCCTCAAGGTATTCCCCTTAGGTTATTAGATATTCCTGTATATAGTATCAGCCATGTACCTGTATCAGTAGTTACTCCCCTCGATCCTCGAAAGATTGTATCAGTAGCCTGTCCTTTGGCCCGATTGGCCACTTCCCTTTTCTCATGCCTCTGTAGCTCAGGTGGAGAGCTTTAGGCGATTTAGCGGGCTTCCCTCCAATTGGGAGTTGGTTGCCCCGGGCCCTGACAGCGACTTCGCTTATCCCCCGCAGGGCTGCTATCATTTTTTTGTTGACCAAGTTATTTTCGGTCTCCGCTTTCTAATCCAAGTCGAACTTTTAGAAATAAGTGACTTGTACAGTATCCCAATAAATCTATTTTCTCCCAATGCGCTTTGTATCATGATAGCCTTTATTGTTATTTCTCGTGTAGTCCTCCATTTTTTCTCAGCCGATTTTTTTCATTACTGCTATGGTTATCGGCTTCAAAAGGGGGCCCACTGTTTAATTCGCCGTTCCGGGGTCACCTTTTTTGATGACCTTTCCTCAAACATTACTGAATGGAAGTCAAAATTTGTGTTTATTCGCCCTCCCGTTGGTGCTTATCCTTATGCAAATAATTGGATAAGCACTAAAGTTAAACAAAATAAACAGTCTCGATCCGAGAACTTTGAAAAGCTTTTAGAGGAGTTGAATAAGTGTACTTATAGTGCTCGACGCATAATAAAGGATCGTGAGTTAGTCAATCATGCTCGAATCGTTCTGTATGACGATATTTCTCGGCTCGATGATCCCCGTAAGCTGTCTGACGTTTCTCGTACTGCCGAGTTTTGATTTTTATTTACTTTCAGTCTTGTTTGATTATTTGTTTTTGTTTCAGTCCAAGCACTCAAGCGATTTGAAATAAAAAAGAGACAGCCGACTGGGCTGTTGGTAGTCGTGTCTGCTCCTCCCCCCAGTGG